CTCTCTCTCTCTCTCTCTCTCTCTCTCTCTCTCTATTTCAGTTCCTCCTTTGGCCACCAACTTCTTTCCCGTTCTATTTCGACGGTCGGCTCGCTCTCTGCCCGTGTCCTTTCTCACTCTATCGGCAAGTCCGATCTTCCGTCTCGCTTTCACTCGCCACGATTCCTCAGCTCTGTCTTTTGCGAAGGTTCCGTCGTCACTCTGCCGGGTTACGGCTAGTCCGGGTGGGTTACCGATAACCGGCAGGTAAACGCAAAGTTATGCGTCTACGGATTTCAACCTGCAACTTTTTAGCGTGGCCCCTGGGAAACGAGACAGATGCAATCGATTCTCTCTTCCATCAATATTATTAGACGTGGAATTGGATTCATCGATGTCTTGCCAATTAAACATTCTTCAAATCGAGCGCCTTTTGGCGATTCATTTCATTCACGAGTTCAATATCTGAATTTTTCAACGTCTCGCATAGATAGATCGCGATCGAAAGTTTGGTTATGAAAAGTATTAAGTAAAGAAAACAAAGAAGTGGTGACGACTGTATTTCCGGCGAACACTGATTTTTTACAATGTTCCGTTACGAATCAACGCGAGCAATTTATAGAGATTTATGAATCGAGCAGGCGGTACGAAATCTTATTGCGATTGTGCTTCGAGAACCGCTTTGTGCAATCTCATTTGCGGCGAAATATAAAAGGGATTAAAAGCGGGTAAAGTAAACAGCTAACAAAATAATAATAATCTCTAACCTATCGGCTGCCACGATATCACAACGCAAAATTCATACAGGCATCTTATATTGTCGTACGTGCTCGAAATCGAACGCAATATTTTCTCGTGTGCTTCTTGCCTTTTATCATAAGCACGCTGTTTAAGGGTTAAGGTCGCGCGCGACCCGTGGCTCCCGGAACGCGTGTCGCGTGTTCTCTAGCATACGGCCCTGATGGCTCGCGCGCCTCGTCATTTGTCCTCGCTCCCCTCGCCCCTCCCCCCTCTCGCGCAGGATACCATCCGCCGCTCGCCAAGCCACTCGATTTACTACCCCCTCCCTTTTCGCGCCGTGCGCTTCTCTCTCTCTCTCTCTCTTACGCTGCTTAACGCGTCGCGTGGCCCTCTCTCCCTTCCACTCTCACTTCTCCTCCCACCACCCTTGCTCGAGCCTCCTATCTCCGTCTCTCGTTCCCTGTCGTTCAATTCGACCGTCCTTCTCCCGTGCGTTATTATATGATTACGTTTCTTTCTCCTTCGGACGAAAGAGTCGTCGCTCTGTCCCGCCGTTCTCCATTGTTTTCTCCGTTTCCATCTGCCGGTGGTTTTTGCTTTTTTCCAATCGCTTTATCACCGATTTTTGATCGTTCTGCGCGACCATGAAATTGATTTCTCGTTGTAATCGTGGCCGTGTAAGGGGAAGGGGTGAGGGGGGTTGCGATTTAAACATTTGCGTACCTTTAATGGCCGTTGCGATGTCGCGGGTCGAGGCGAAAAAAGAAAAAAAAAAAAGCGGGGAGAAGTAAGACACGGTGAAACGATTGAACACAAAGAAGTGACGTATAAACACGCTTATTGGACTCGAGCGAGGACGTTTTAAATCAGGCTTGGCTCGTAACGTTAATTACGTTACGGTTGTCGTTTCGAGTAAGTGCGCTCCGGCCGTGTATAAAAACGTCTTTATCTCATTCTTATCGTGTGTTCGAATATACGGGCGATGAATATATGCGCGCGCGCCATAATTTTTTTTCTCATTTCTGGCTGACGTGCATCGCCAGTTCGTTTCGTATGCGCCGGACCGGTCTCTGTCTTTTTCTGTTTCGTTCCCCCATGTTCGACCTCGGGAGGAATCGGCGTAAGGTTTCTCCCTCCTCGTCGCACGTGCCGCAGCGATACGTTCGCGTTCCTCGTTTGCGAATCGTTTTCTCCTCGTTGTTCCGACTGGCCGCTCCCTTCCTTTTCGCTCTGGCGTTTTGTTTCTCCGTCGCAGATGCTAGCCGGTGCCGACAACCTCCCCCACCCAGGCCGCTCCGCGCGGATAATCGAGACAAGCTGACGAACATCGAAGTCTCGTCTGCTTACCAAAACCGTCTTCCTATCCACTGACACCGATTACTAATTTCCAT